TCACAATAAATGGAGACACAAGCAGATAGTGACGCCATCCTCTGAGACAATGGACAACTGCTAACAATTCCTTTTCATGTGCCGAGTAACGACGTTTTGTCTGGTTTAACTTCCGGCTCTCATATGCTACCGGATGTCCTTCTTGCATGAGGACTCCACCAAGGGCAAAATGGCAAAATCTGAAGCATTTGTATAAACTTCAAATGGTTTAGTCATATCCGGTAAGGCTAAAATCGGGTTCGTCCACATGAACTTCTTCAACCTTTCAAAAGCAGTTTGGCATTGGGATGACCAATCCCAATCCTTATCCTTCTTTGTCAATTCAGTAAGTGGCAGTACAATTTCTGAGTAGCTTTTCACAAATCTTCGATAGTAATTGCATAACCCAAGAAATGAACGTACGGTTTTTGGTGGTTGCCAATCTTTAATGGCTGTAACCTTCTTCGAATCCATGCGGATTTTATCTTGTTCAATGATGTGACCTAAGAAACTGACAGATGTATGAGCAAATGAGCATTTAGACAGATTAGCATAAAGTTCATTCTCTCGTAGCCGATTAAAAACTTGTCTCACATGTTGGACATGTTCCTTCAACGTCTCGCTGTAGATTACTATGTCATCCAAATACACCACGACAAAATCACCTAAGAACCCGTAAAGTACCTGATTCATCATAGTACAAAATGTTGCTGGAGCATTTGTCAAACCAAAAGACATCACTTTAAATTCAAAGGCTCCATATCTGGTTATCACCGTAGTTTTTGCTTCATCTCCCTCCTTGATCCGAACTTACCAGTATCCGGACCTAAGATCAATATTTGTGTAATACTTCGCCCGACTAAGTCGATCGAAGCAATCCGCAACCAGTGGGATAGGATAGCTATTATTTACAGTGATCTTGTTCAAGGCTCGATAGTCGCAGCACATTCTAAGAGAACCATCGGCCTTTTTCTGAAACAATACAGGAGCTCTGTATGGCGACTTCGCGGGCACAATGATTCCACTCTCCAGCATTTCCCCCAATTGCTTCCTAAGCTCTTCAAACTCGAGCTGAGACATACGGTATGGTGCCCTGGCGGGAGGTTTGGCGCCTGGAATGAGTTCAATCTCATGATCAATCGTCCTTCTTGGTGGTAATTTCTTTGATAATTCTTCCGGCATGATATCCTCAAATTCCCGAATAAACCTTTTAACGGGTTTTCAAATAGGACCATTTGCTTCTTCAATCTCCTCTAATCGAAGAGTGCACAAAAAAGAGGGTTCATTTCTCTTGAAACCCTTACTAAATTGCATGGCTGAGATACTCTTCTCGCCCATCCTCCCAACCTGTGTAGGGAGGATACACGACTTATTACCCATCATCATTAACTAATCAAAATATGGCAACATTGCTGTCTTAGTATTCCGAAGAAATTCCAATCCTAGAATAAGCTTGAAATCATCCATCTGAACTTCAGATAAATTTGTCCTTCCCTCGAAAGGACATGCTTTGATCAACACCGATTTTGCCACTCCAGCTATTGGCCCTCGAAAGGACATGCTTTGATCAACACCGATTTCGCCACTCTAGAACAAGTCCGAGTCGCTCTACTTCGGTACATGCAAGGTAGTTGTGTGTAGCAACTGTATCCACCATAGCCCTGATTGGCTTCCCATTGATTTTTACATCAATGTACATTAAGCCTTTGGCCCTACAAATTTGAGCCTTCGCTTCTTCCATCTTTGCCTCTTTCAATGGGACATCATCCTTTTCTGCAACCCAATGCGACAGTGTGTTACACCGATGTGAAAATGCCCCAACTACTTCCTCATCCTCTTCAGAGTCAGTCTCATTATAACAATTAGCCTGTGGGGCCTCTTGCTTTGAACTTGGGCCGCCACTTGCTAACTGACAATATGCATTCACCATTCGCTTTTGAGGACAATCCGACACCCGATGAGGTCCGTCACATAAAAAGCACTTCAATTTGGGAGTGACATCAGTTCGGCCCTCTGTTGCTTTTCCTTTGTTCCAGTTGTTATTGTTGCTGCCGTTAAAATTTCATTGACGGCTATTATGATAGTTTCCCTGAAAGTCACGGGTGCTTTGATAGGGTCCTTCTCTATTCTGAGAGTAATGCTCTCTCCCATTTGGGTTCAAGTTGGGTTTGTAAGATCTGTTACCACCTCCAATTGCTTGATTACTCCCCGAAGGTCGATCTTTTCTAGATTCTGTTTGGTAGTCGCTCAAGCATTCAGCGGCTCCCATGGCCGTGCTCAAATCAATAACCTTCTGTCTTTGAAGTTCCGTGCGTGTCCACGGTTTCAACCCTTCCATAACGGTGAAGAGCTTATCCTTTTCCGACATATCTCGAATATTCAGCATATGCCCTGAGAAGGATTTCACATACTCCCTTATAGAGCTTGTGTGTTTCAGGTCTCGAAGTGCCCTTCGAGCCTGATACTCGACATTTTCCGGAAAAAACTGCGATCTGATCGCTTCCTTGAGGAGATCCCAAGAATCAATTCGAATCTTGTGGGCTTGAATGTCAGAATATTTAGTTCGCCATTTGCATCTCCACCCAGATACATGATAGCTGTGGTTACCTTTCTAGCTTCGTCTTCGATCGAAGCTGCTAGAAAGTACTGTTCCATATCAAACAAGAAGATTTCGACTTCTTTCGCATCACATGCCCCTCCGTAGGTACACGATTCAGGAATTCTGAGCCTAGGAGCATACTCGGGTACGGAAGCTTGCCCATTGCCCACCGCACGTTGGAGTACTCGCAATTGAGCTCTCAACGCTTCCATTTAATTCTGCAGATCAGGAATGATTGCAGCAGCTTCAGCCGTTGCTGCGGAAGCTCTTTGGCTTTCATCCAATTGGATGTGTAATTCACGAATCTCGAATTCGGCCATCTCGACTTTATCCTCGAGACCTTCCATAGCATAGCACAACCTAGTAGTTGTCTCATCAAGCGCATCCACGCGCTGTTTCGTAGTACCCTTTTTTTGAGGCTCTATCATTTCAGTAGTGTGGGATGTAATTAGATCCATAGCTTTCTTATCGAGGGTTGTGAGCCGCAGCTCTGATACCAACTTTCACGGAGTGCCTTTCTTCTTGGCACAGAAAGGAACACCGTGCGGCAGTAGTCTGCTCCTCTAGACTACCTTCCGCCTTTTCTCGATCGCGTCGGGACGGAAGAAAATTTGATTGCAATTTTGTAGAAAGCTTACAATAGAGAATTTGAATACATTGAAAGTAAATTGAACATTGATTGATGAAAACTGAACATTACAATTGATGAAAGCAGAAAATTACAAATGCTGGTGCAGAGGGCGGACACCAGTGAGCTTGAAAGATTTTTGAATGGGGATATAATAGCATTCTGAACAAAAACCTAAGTGACGGGAGTAGACGTTTAAAAGACGAGGAATCATACTAAACGTTTACCAATATCAGAGTTATTTTACAACTGAAATAACTATTACAATGAAAAGAAAATTACAACTCAAACTTGAAGTAATGTTTACAATGTGCGGTCGAAGTTGGGCAAACTGCGGCTGCGATAGTGTCAAGGGGATAAGTAAAGCTGCGGTCCTTGACAACAAGTCATGTCCAGTTCATGTTCGAGTGCGTCCTTGTACTATATTAACTTTTTGTACAAAATTTATTTAAAATTTTGGGCCAAATTGTAAGTAATCAAATTCTTGGGTAGTTAATGAAATTTATTTTTATTGGTTTATTTTAGGATAATTTTTTTGGTCTGGATGGTCTGTTAACTGACTTAACAAACGCAGTATTAAACTAAGCTGTTTGTTCAAGTTTTGGAAGCTGTCTGAACAGTGACGACTGTTCTGAAAAATGTTTGAATGGCCAGGAACGACTTTATAAATAGCCTACCTCGCTGCAAGAATAATTACAACATTTTCATTACAAACGTTGTCTATTTTGAAACTCATTCTCCCTCTCTCTAGTTCTAATATTATTTTCGAAGTGAAAACACTTCACTGAGTTTGTTGAAACTCCTGTAGATTGCTATGCTGTTTCTATAGAAGACGAAATTCGTTCTATCCTAAAAAACGATTGCTGAACGCATTTAAAACCTTTGAAGTCAGCAAATTCGTTTTAAGGAAACATCGTGAAGTCGGTGGCTCGAATTGAATTTTTTTATCCTGTTGATCATATCATTACGCTGCACAAATTACGTTAACGTAATTCTATCATATTGTTCGGAGGAGAAACTCATACTCCGAAAACAACTAAGAACGTTGAGGAGGTAGGCTGGGCAATTAATCAGATCTAGTGTGGATCATACATCAATGGTATTCGCCGTCGGCAGCTCTCTCAGGGCCCCTCATCTGAGATCCCTGACAGGCGACTGAAATGTAGATATGTACGATATAAGGGTGATACACGAACATATCACTCTATTTATGAAGAAATAAGCCCCCTTTAGATAGAAAAATTGCAACAAAATGTCATGATTTGTACAATAACCTAGTGAAATTGTGTGGCTCAAGCCAATCTACAATATGAGTTGAAAATTGAAATGAAGCCTATGTATAAAAAAAGGATTCGTATACGTGCAATAATAGATGCGCATGCACATTAGCCCATGTGTATGTAGTAACACGTTAGGAAAGTATTTATACACATCTTAGATTCCTTAAAATTTATTGACATATAATTTTGTACAAAATAATTTGACTTTTACAAATTATTTATTTTCACTCTTTCAACATTCAAGATTAATTTTAACAATGAAGCAAAGTTCCAAATAATTTACTTAGGGTGAATTAAAGGGAAAAGTAAAGAAAAGAAAACTTAAATACATTAACAGTGATCAAATATGAACATGATATGCATAAAAAATATCCAAAAAGGCACGATAAATGACATTACGTTTATGACTTGATGTTCAAGCCCAGATATCAATGATTAGCAATTACAGTAATTTTATCTCTAATGAATTTCTCGATTAAAAAAAAAAAAGGGGCTGGGGCATTAAACGACTTACCTGAAAAAAGACTCTCAAAGCCAAAACAAAATGGATGTTGAATATGGTTTTGAGATGAAAGTAATAAGGGATTTTTGCGTTGAGATGATTGAGAGTGTGAAGATTAAATAGAGAAATTGCAGCGAAGTCTTCTTCTCCGTCAAAGTCAACCACTACCAAGTAAAGTAGCAGGGGAGGTTTCCAAGAAAATGCAAGGAAAGTGTCAGGGATAGGAACAAAGCTCATTTTCATTTCTTTGGTTTGGATTTCCATTTTTCTTTTTCATTTTTTAAACGATTTTTAATTTTTCCAACTGAAAACGATAAAAAGTTGTTTCGCATTTACAGTTATAAATTTTAACTCATTTTCGAAAATACGTTTTCGAAAGCGACGGACCAAATGTGTTTTTGAAAATGAAAAATGGGTCGAAAACGGCAAACCAACCACGGACTAAATGTTTCTCGTAAGTGTCTTGTTTGGTAACATTTTTAAGTTAAATTTTAAGTACCTATAATTGTGAATTCTACTAGTACATGAATAATAAGGTACATTATGGGGAAGCAAAAAATTATCACTGGCTGGGAGTACTTAGACACGAGAGAGTATCGCCCAATATAAATATAGCAATAGCAAATATGAATTTTTGAGCCCCGTTTGGCAACAATTTTTCACACAAAAAAATCAATTTTTTGACTGTTATTTCACTATTTCAGTCGTCATTTTTAACTTCTTCACTTACAGGTGAGACCCACTTTTTTCTTTAACGATCAGAAAATCAATTCTCATAATCACTATCAAACAGACTCGGATGAATTTCGATGTTTCTTATGATTTTATCTTTATTTAAAATGCCTATTAGTACTCCCGTATGGGATATCAATCTAGGATCAAAATGAAAAATGAGCCAAGATTGATAAAATTCACTTTTTATGTAACTGACGTGTCGACAACCATATTTTTGGATTTATAATCATTCATGGTCGTATTAGATTTTTGTTATACATTTATAGCCAAACTACTTAGCATAACAAATTGGATATAGTTTTTCATTAAGCCTCCATAGAAGCAATGTTGAATCAAGTGCTATAAAATCAAGAGCATTGCTGCACGTCGCTTTGTTTTTCATAACATCAATCCAAGTTCAAAAAAAATAATAATAAATAAATAAATAAATAATAGATTGGTAAATATTGTCATAATTGATGCACAAATTCTCGATTTGATAGGTTTGATTGGTTACATGTAACCTTTTTGGATTGTCACGAGCTAAAAATTTAAATCAAAATTAATATTTAATTTTAACTACATATTTTATGAAATTCACAATTTTTATAAATTTTTCAATTACATATTTATACAATTTTATTAAAAAATTTCGTTTTATCTAAACCAAATGAGTTTAGATGAAATTTAGTTAAATGATTTTTCAAACACTACTCCACTCTATTTACTTGACTACTAATGGACTTATTCAATAAACATACCCAGTCAAAGTCTTACTGAGACAACCTTTTACTCTCAAGTCTCATCGAAGGAGACAATAAATCCACTGATTTCCTTGATTATCGGCGTAAAATATTTCAACTATTTATTTTTAACGTTATTTAATCGCCAATGGATTATAATATAACTTTT